ACTAGGACGATTTGTCCAGCCATTTCGTCGTGTCCGATGGGTCAGGCTTGAAAGGTATGTATTTGATCTCTATTATATACTCCCTCCGTCCCGCAAAGATGTTCCCGTTCGGTTTACGATGCTTGACTAACGATAAAGCAACTCGATCCCTGTTCACACTCAGATTATTTTTAGTAAATAAAATTTACATATTCAGAAACTACATTAAAACCGCTACAAAGCTTGATCAAGAAAATTTTAATTTGATAAAAAATTGATATATAAAGTAAAAGATTAGGAGTGACCTAAGTTGACCAATGAATAGTGAACGGGAACATCTTTGCGGGACGGAAGGAGTACATGCATGCATGCATGCATGCATGCATGGATGCATGGATGGATGGATGCATGGATGTATGTATGTATGTAAAGTCAAAGTCATCAAAAGAACCTATCAAATCATTTACATAGTATCTGTCAAAAAAAAATCATTTACATAGTAAAATCGATCAACTCAAACGTAGAAAGAACAATGGCCATCAAACTAAAGGGGCATAAACCTGTTAGCTTAGCTTTTAGAGAGACGTGTCAATAATTTCATCAACCTAGTTAATACAAATATTATGCATAATTTGGGTTTTGATTATTCCTGATTTGGAAAAATCAATTTGAATCTGAAATCAAATTTCTTTAAACCTATGATGCAAATGAGCTAGTGCTTTCTTCATAGCTATGCCATTTTTGTTTTTGTGAACGTATTTTTGTCATTCTACCATGTCACGTGCCATCTAGGACTCCTAGGAGTACCTGCTATTTTAATCAATCACCTCCTATCAAACTACAAAACATGGCAGGAAAAGAGAAATAAATTGTGCTTTTTTTTTTGTATATTTGAAAGAATCTTTTTATATATTATGACATAAATTGTGCCTTTTATCTTATTATGAAATACGGAGTATTCGCTATGCAATAAATTGTATCTCTCCCACCCTCTTCCTATGCATGATACTTTTTAGTAGTATCATTGTTATCGTTCTAGTAAGTGGGTTTAATGTACATATTTATAAAAATAACAATTGAATAAGCATGTTTGGTACGAAACTCCATATGAGCATCAAATATATTTTTGAACTTCAAAAGTAGATGACATATGTTCGACAAATATATCCATATAAAATCAGATAATGAGGTGCAAACAATAAGCGAGAAATACTTGTAAAATAATACTAAAAGGTCACCAGAAAATAGGTGAAAATATATAGCAATTCAATGCGCCTATATTACAATTCGTTATACTCCAAAACAAATTGAGCCTATGAGCCTATGAGCCTATGAAACAATTAAAAGTATGAAAGAAGAGTCTTGTGAAAATAGGTGCAACTACAAATATCTGTGTAAAAAGGACCTTAAAATTTGAAAGAGCTATGAGCCTATGAAACAATTAAAAGTATGAAAGAAGAGTCTTGTGAACATTTTACAAACATATGGCTAGCACACTAAATTCCTAGTTGGTAAAAAATTAAGGGAAAATGGAAACTAATAATCCAACCTTTTAGCGGTCTTCTTATAATAGTCCCACCTTTTGATTATTCATGAATAATCCAACCTTTGCACCTCATCTTCATTCACTGGTCCCTGACCGGTTGATGACCTGCTATTCCAAGTTATTTTCTTATCTTTACAAAATATTATCTTTGTGAAAGGTGAGATTTATGATATAATGGTTTGCAAAGATCAGGACCGTCTCTAGCAGTTTTGGTGCCCCAGACAAAAAATGATCAATAAGATCAAACAGTATTTAAAATTAATAACAGAATTAAATGTGAAGTGATTAGAAATTTATAAAACGATTTTTTACGCAATGTAAAAGGTAACACTTGATTTAAAATTGATATAAAGTATGTTAAAATAGAAGTTCTTTTAAGAAATAAATACAACCATAAAAGTACTACCTAATAACTTATTCATAGAACCGAAGAAATAGAAGTTTTAAATAATCAAGGAATTTTATCAATTCAGAATCCAAAAGATAGATGAATTATCAATTCAGTACTTGAAAGATGAGATGTATTCGAATGATGGAAAACTATCAATCTAAGATCTTACGTTTTATATGTTTTGACTTATTTAATCTTTTAAGATTTTCATTGCTAATTTTTTATAAACTTTTCTTCACAAAAGTTCATTAGTTTCATAAAACTATACAACATTTAAAATTTTTAAAATAAAAAATCAATAAAATTCATGGCAATTTATGTTCTAATAAATTGATAATTTTCAATCATACAAGTCTTAAATTGATAGTTTTCCATCATTCGGATCTTATATCGATAAATTTCATCTTTTAGGTCCCGGGTTGATAATTTATCTATCTTTCGGATCGTGAATTGATAAAATTTCAATAATCAAATACGTAGTATCACGAATTAATTAGTTGGTTAATCAATGCTGAAATTTCAAATCAACAGGATCATTTTTTTTAGAAAAGAAACTGGATAATTGTTGGATAAGTGGATTGCAGAATTGGCTAGTGGCTATTCTTTGTTGCCTCATGTAATCCCAATGACCGTATACGGTACAACATACGAATTTATTAGGGAAATAGTCTACGAAGTAATAATAATAGTCCAAATAGATAAACTACATTACTTATCTATTCCCAAGGCTAATTTCTTCCTAATTTTCTATTGGGTCATCCAGCCAGCGGGCCAGCCTCCCATATTTGTCAGAATTTGTTTACGGAGTACTCGTATTTTTTTGTACTACTAGTAGTTTTTATACCCACACACGCTGGCCACACGAAATACAGGTACTAGTTTTAAAAAAAATGATGCCCCCTTGGGAGTGGTGCCCTAGGCCATTGCCTAGGTGCCTACCCCATATGGCCGGCTCTGGCAAAGATAATAAAATAACTTGGAATAGTAGGTCATCAACCGGTCAGGGACCAGTGAATGAAGATGAGGTGCAAAGGTTGGATTATTCATGAATAATCAAAAGGTGGGACTATTGTAAGAAGACCGCTAAAAGGTTGGATTATTAGTTTCCATTTTCCCAAAAATTAATGCGTAATAACTAATACTTTGAAACTCTAACTCGTTTTATGTATCTATATTTGTTTCGAGCATGTAAAATTAATAAGACTAGCTAGCACCTATATTACAATTCGTTATACTCCAAAACAAATTGAGAAATGCAGCTTGAATTCGTTCTTATAGAATTGAATAAAAAAAGAACTAACACTAATATTGTTAAGATTTAATTAACGCAAAATGAAAACAATAATAAAGAACATATTTCCCCCGTTCCTTTTTAATTGCAACAGTCGACATTTCACGTTTGCCAACGCACAAGTTTGACCATTAATATCTTTCATTCCTTATTAGTAAAAAAATTCAAAAAATTCATATTTTAAAAATTTAGAATGAGAAGAATTTAATTATATTTAAAAAAAAATTAATTTATAATACATTAATGAATAAAATATAGTCAAAGTAGAATATGTGAATAGTGCAAAAAGTCCAATGTTGCGATTAAAAGAGAACGGAGGATAGTACAAAATTTGGTAACTCAGTTCGTCACGAATGACTACGTCTGGGGCGCTATCAAGCCAGGAATTGCTATTAATTTCGGATCAAGTGATTACAAGGGAGAGAACTTGTATTTATAGAGAGTAAAACATAACCCCTAATCATAATAGGACACGCGCGCGAGGCCCACATCTGTACGGCCCAAACTGTACGGAAACTCGCGGCTCTTCCGAAACAGACCCAAAAAATTTCGGGCGGGGGCTACCGCCCCTATCTAACTCCTCGTCGAGTTAGATAGACGAATAGGGCTTGGTTATACAGTCTCTAACACCTTACAAATATTATACGGAGTAAACTTGTATGCCTAAAACTTTACCTGACAGGTAAACTTTTGTAAATTTGGCTTCCCAACAACTTAAAAATAAGAGCACCTACTAAGAAATCATTATAGAATGAGCAAAATAGAAATAAAACTAAAGTCTTAACAGAAAACTTACTTGTACTAATAGCAATGTATGAAACCAACAAATAGAGGCTCTAAAGATCTAAACCAGCTCTATTATAGGATATAACCTGTAATAGGGTTTTCCATTTTCTCCATACAACCTTCCATGTTCTTCTTCATAAATTAAGGCCCTTTCGTAATGGATTGGGCGAATAAAGCATCATATATTCAATTACAAAAAATGAAGGAATGAAAGCAATTAATGAGTAGGATGACATTACACTTAAGAAATTAATTAAATTATGGAAAACATTACATGCCAATAGTAAGAAACGGAAAATGAACACTACTTAACGGAGTGAGAATGGATTACTTTGATAAAGAAACGAGTGCACAATAACTTAAGCTAAAGGAACGACTTATTATTGCTTGGATGTTACACCGACACATTTTTTGTATCATTTATACCCTTATTTTCATTGATGTTTATAATATTTTGACTAAAGGGTCAAATAGGTACATGAACTAACTTAAGGTGTTCAATTAGCCCCTTATATAGGAGGTTCTGCCCGGCCGTCGCCAATTGGGGCGGTTCCCGGTGGATTTTTTTGATGAAATTTTTTGAGCATCTTCTTCATTAAGTCTACTTTACCCATATAAAATTTCAGCTAAAAATTAAATCGGGAATGCAGTCAAATGATTTTCTGAAATGTACTGCGCTGTTTAACTGCGCAGTTATCTTCAAAAATTCATTTGACTGCATTCCCGGTTGAATTTTTAGCTAAAATTTGGTATGGGTAAACTAGACTTAATGAAGAAGATGCTAAAAAAATTTCATCAAAAAAATCCACCGGGAATCGCCCCAATTGGCGACGGCCGGGCAGAACCTCCTATATAAGGAGCTAATCGAACACTTTAAGTTAGTTCATGTACCTATTTGATCTTTTAACCTAATATTTTAGATTAGATGTATCACGCTCACCCTAAAAAATTAAAAAAATGTTACTCCGTACTATAAACAATCAGCCATGTTCAGGAACCCATTCTTCCAAGCAGCCCACTAGCCAAGCCCAAAATACCAAATCCAAAAGCAATCAGTCAATCGCCACTCCAGTCCTCATCTTCTCGAACTTCTTTCAGTGGGTGCCGGTTCAAGCGCGTCTCACGCCCGTACTCGATAGCCTAGATTTAGAGTGTGCGGCATTTCTGTCTTCACCAGTAAGTTTGTTAATAGTTAATTTTTTAATTTTATCTCCATTTATGCGCTCTTCGCCATTTAGCTGTTTGCGTGACTGTTTATAGAATAGATAAATTACAGTCTTATTTCCAAAATTCCAGATTACCAATTTTCAGGGAGGGTTTGTTAAGTTTGTGTAACTGTTCAGACTAAATTACAGCCGAATTTGTTAATGGTTCTACTTTCCAGAATTCCAGGTTAATGGTTTAGCTGTTTAAATATTATTTCTAAAATTAGTATTTTTCAGGGAATGCTTTAAGTTTTAACTCCTTTAAGCCTTTAATTAATGTTTTTGAGAAGTCCTTTAATTAAGGGCTTGTTCTTTATACTTTCACTCTCTCAGATGTTAGGCATTGAGGTTTAGACCTTTATATAATCTATGGCTTTATATTTATTTTTATGTCTGATTTGAGTCATTTGACTATTTCAGTTTGCAAGTTTTAACATTTATTATGAATGTGAACATCATCTATTGTAATATGAATTTGATTGTGATTTGTTATTATTAATCTAATTATTTAGTTAGTTAATATTAGTGTAGTAAATTAGTAACTAGTAATCTCATTGTGAACATCTTTGATTTTGTATTGCAACTTTCAATAGATGTTATTATTGTATACATTAAAATAAATTTTGTTAAATAGCAAGGTAGTTAACTCGCTACTCGGTAGTAACTCGGTCAAGGGCCGAGTAGCGAGTAGGACCGATTACTCGGGATTACTCGGTGACTACTCGGTCTTGTAATAATTAAATTTAATAGCATAGGTGCATGAGATTATAGAAATATAATAGTCTTAAAATTGTCTTAAAATGCATAGAAATGAATAAATTGATAGAAATGCTAATGATGGAGTAGCAAAAGTTATAAACATTCTAAGTCTTCTAGAAAATTCAATCATCTAATAATTTGCTAGGATCTCTGTTCTCTCCCCATGTCCATCCTAAATCATCTGATTTTATCTTTAAGTGTAGTATTAACATATTTTGTCAATTAGATGATGTGTGTTGTGTATCGATCAATGATGTGCCATAGTAAACAATCAACATAGTGATATGAATTAAGTTACGTAATACGGAGTATAATATGTATAGTCATACTAGTGAAAAGGATTTATTTATATCAACATATATGTGTGTATCAATATTAAACAATCAAGATGGTGATATTTTAAGAATGCAGAAATGAACAACTGGAAAAGAGGATGGGAGGGCGGAAGAAGAAGAAATGAGAGAGGGGAGAGGGGAAAATACAAAAAAGAGGATGAGAACTTATTGAGAGATCATAGTCACAGCTCTAGGGGCACAGTAGATGTGAGGAACTCCATTTAACCTAGGTTTTGTAACTTAGTTTTTCAATTTTACCGGGGGGATTAGGCCGAGTAACTCGCCGAGTTGAAAATTTTACCGAGTTGAGAAACTCGCCGAGTACTCGGCGAGAAACTCGGAAATAAAACCCTTACTCTAGATTAAAAAATGGAAAAATTAAAAGTCAACTATCAAAAGTGTCACTGATACAATAGTCGGAGGACCAAAAGTGGCAAAAACCCTTGCTTGTGATTAGCACCTAATCTCAACTGTGTAATTTATTGTTCAATTTTGGTCAAATTCGGTGGGAGGGAGGCAACATACATGATGATAATAAGAAAAGGCATTTATAGGATCTAATGGTGCAGATTCATAACAGCAGGTGAGGAAGATATCTTTCTCCTTTGTCGAACTCTCTATTGCGGCCAAAGTACTTGGTAGTTAAAATGGGAATGAACATAGGCTTCCTCGTCGGCACTTTTGGTGTTTTATTCCTCGCCAACGCCGCCTACTCCACGATCCAGTGTATCCCCAATTTCTTCAATCAACCCTATACTCACACTAGGGTTTATTTCTTTCCAATAGATAGGAATCAACTACATGATTCTCATTTTGTACGATTTCTTTTTCAATTTTGAAATGCAGATAAGGCTTTGCTCAAGATCACCGAGGAAGAGTTCTCTGGTCCTCCCTTTGACGTAAACTCCTCCACCTCCCTTGCTCTTTTGAGTAATTCTTTTACAAATTTCAATATTTTTCTTTTCACTTGCAGGTGGTTATTAAGTTGATTATAGGTTTAGTATTGTGCATGTGGGCTGCCCTAATAGTGCCCGGGAAGTTTTTGTCTATTCATCCTCAATCTGATGAGAACAGGTTTGTCTCTTTGCAAGGATTGTTTATGAATTGCTGTTATGAATTTGTATGTAGTAGATTGTAGAGTAACCTCGTCTTGCTTTTTTTTTTTATTATCAGTGAAGCAATTGATCTTTTGGGGTCAATTTTGTATTTGAGATTTCTCAAAGTTCTTTTTTTTTTTTTACAATTTTACTTAGGAGTTGGGACAAGTAGTGATTTTGAGTGGTTTCTGTTAGGTTATCTTCTAATGTGTCTTACTTTCTCTTAATTGCCCGTTATTACTATTTAAATGTTTACTTTTAATGATGATATTGACCAGGCCTTCAAAAGTCTTCTCCTCCAAAACCCTCCCTCCAAAGACTATTAGGGAGTATTAGTCATGTCTTGGTCTTGTTGGATGAGTAACTAGAAAGTAAAAAGACATATTCTGACCCCAATTGCCAGACACACATCTGCACCATTTTTCATTGGAGTGGAAAGTGGAAGCAAAGTTGTTCGGAATTGGATATATTTTCTCTCTCATATAATACTAGTTTGAACTCCTCACTACCCTGCGCCAGTGTTTCTTATATTTTTGTGTGAGTAGTTAATTTTGTGGGGTTTCTTAAATACATGTTCTTTTAGAGCGTGAGGGGGTAAACTATTTAAATTTATCAAAAGCGTAGAAAGTAAAGAAAAGGGTTGGCAATAGATATTAGTGGATGATATCATAAAATCATGCAATGGTTTATGTACCTAACCCCACCCCATTGCGCTGCCATCAAAGACTAGAAACTGAAGGAACACTATGGAGTCATAGAGCGTACTGAGGTGATTCTTTGACATAGAGATGTGTATTGACGCGGTTAGGTCTTCATCAGATGGCTTTCGTTTTGGATATGTTGTCTAAGTACTATTTGTTTCGTGATATTCTAGCTTTACTTCCCCTCGCACTTAGGGTGTTCGGTTGGTGGGCTCTGGAGGGGGTGGGGCAGGTTTGGTTTTTGTTTGATAATTTATACTCGTATGTACGTAGTATGTTTTAGTCTTAGTTGAATTTTCATATATCTCTGCATATTTTTTCATCTCCACTTCTCTCAGAACATCTTAAAATAAAGAAAACTGTCCACTTTTGGTCTCACTACTACTGTTATATTTTTTACCTTTTGTCCTAGACTTATGCTTATTCCAGTTTAGGTGCACAACTATGGATTTCTTGTTAGTTTCGTCCTTCTCAGCACTTGTCTGGCCATTTTTGTTTACATTTTTGGGTTGCTCTTTCACCAGGTAGGTCATTAAAATGATCGTAAGTGACAAATCTTTAGTCATGAACCAAAAGTGTAACAAAGTCAGAGACAAACTGTAACAGGCGTGATACAAAAAGTGGAATATTTTGTTTATATAATACTCCTTATATATTACCCTTCCCCTCAAAATCCTCCAACTACACAGGGCTAACATTTCTTAGAAGCCAATTAATTACTCCCTCCGTCCCAAAATTATTGTCCCGTTTGGTTTTTCACACAGATTAAGAAAATGACACTGTAGCGACACTGTCTGGCACTGTAGCGACACTGTTTGGCACTGCAACAACACTATTTGACATTGTTTTGCACTGTTTGACACTGTTTGGTATAAATTTGTTTAGCTAATAAGGAAGGTAAAGAAACGAGACAATTATTTCGGGACGGACCGAAAAGGAAAGCGGGACAATAATTTTGGGACGGAGGGAGTACTTTACTTTTTATTAATGGAATACGCTCTCTAACTTCTAAGTAGCGAAGGTATTAAATTGACTGCGCTCTCTGACGTGTAGGGTTGTTGCTCTCCCTGAAAATCTGGATTTTATGATTTTCAATCACCGTGGGAAAGCATTTCCTCAGGAAGTAGTTGATTTCAAGTTGAAGTGATGCTTCTAGGAAAATTGAGGATGTTTTGTTCACTTGGGGATCCTTTAGGGTCTATAAAACATATTATTTGATGATAGCATGAAACCACCACAGCATGAATGTATTTTATTTAAGCTTCTAAAGTGTTATATTCGCCTCTAAGCTTCAACCTTGTGAGAATGGGAAACGTGTTTTCGCTACACAAATATATTGGTCTGTAGCTTATACTCTTTCCGAGTTTCCGCTGGTGCTGGATTTCTCTGAATAATGGATTTCTTTCTCTTTTTGAAAAACTGATCTATTCTTTCTTGTCATATGAAAGCAATTTTTTATTCTGCTCTTTGATGAGATATTTCACACATGATACGTAATTGTTCAATTTTTCTGACAAGTTTGTGGTTTAGCAGTTTAGCTAAGATGGTGAATATGTTACGTCGTGCAGTCACGATTATTATAGTTATGATATAAATAAATGCATTGAATATGAAATACATACTTAGGTGTAATTTGTTGCGTGAGCATGCTGTTATGAAATAAATGAACTGGGCCCAGACTGGACTGGGCCTGGTTCCGGGTTAGGCCTGGGCCTGGTTCCGGGTTAGGCCTGGGCGGGCTTTGGATTTCTGGGGTGAAGCCCGGAACTGGCCCGGGAGTTACCGGTTCAATTATTTAACATATGTAGTTAATTTTAATTTTTCACATGTGTAATTAATTTTAATTAAATTTGGAATAAAAAATGAACTCGTAATTCTAATTCAATCATTTAGAATTAAAAAAAAAAAAGAATTGTTTAGAATTGTACTCCGAACAATAATAAATTTTGATATAAAATGAAATATATCACTACGTTTAACCAATGATCACATGCAGTATTAATATAATTTAAAAATACATTAGATTCCATGTTGAATGTTATAAACACTTCTTTGTACACAACAATCTCGATTTCATTTTTTGTTCTTCTGTCTTTGTTTTCAATGTAATTGTTTAATGCTCAGTGATTGGTTGGTTACCCTTGACATAATCACGTAAAAGTGATCGTGAATATAAACAGTTTTTTTTCCAATAACATACAGACCACGACGCCGTATGTCTCTAACTTTTAATTACAATCATGACATAATAAGTCATGTTTAAGTATTATCGCATCCGGGCGGGAATGGCAAGCTAACACCTAAAGGTGTTAAGGAATACTTGGGAATCAGCACCTTCTGTCCCGCACTAACTCATGTTAAAATCATTCATTTTAGTAAAATGCTTTTCTAGTAATTCACCCGCACTATGATTTTGACTAGGCCTGGACTCGGGCCGGTCGGACCGAACCCGAACCGGCCCGGAACGGTACTGTTTGTACCCGACCCGCCCCAGGAACCGGTCAGGTGGACGGTTCAGGCCTAACCAGCCTGGTAGGTAGGCGGTCCGGTCTCGGGCCCTGCAAATGACGAACCGGCTAGGCCTGGCCGGGCCCGGTCCGGGCCTCAACGGCTATTTTTTAAAAAAATAATTAAACAAGGCTCCCTAGCTGTTGGGAATAATCCCAAACGGCTCTATAGCCGTTGGAGGGGAGGGGGTCCGGGGGGTTTTGGGGGTGGGGGTTGGGGATACCAAAAAAATCCTATTTATACTCCTATTTTCTCTACATTTTTCACACCATCCTCAATCTTCATACTATCCTACTCTCTAATTTACTATTCTCTCATACTCAATCATCTTCATCTTCATCTTCTCCAAATCTCTCTACATATATATAGGGAGCGGTTCCGGTAAGAACGGACTCTTAGGAGAGAAAAAAGAACGAATCTGGACCGTTGGATTGTATTATGTGGAATCAATTTGTGCATTTGGTGAAACTGGAATGTGCATTAAATGATATTGAAATGTGCAAAATAAAAATTTAAACTCAAGTGTGCATTAGATTAAATTGAAAAGTGCGAAATAAAAGGTACAAAAATAACATCATATCGTACTTTTTATTCTGCACATTTCAGTTTCACCGAGTGCACATTTCAATTTCACGTAATGCACAATTCAACTTCACATAATGCCACTGCATCGTACCCTTTGTGATGCACATTTTAATTTCACCTAATGCACATTACAGTTTCATCTAATGCACACTGAATTTCACTTACGCAAATCTAACGGTCCAAATTCGTTCTCATTTCTCTCATACGATCGTGTTCTTATTTGAACCAAAACCTTATATATATATATATATATATATATATATATATATATATATATATATATATATATATATATATATATATATATATATAGTAGGGATCAAATGAGAAAAAGATCTAGGGAGAGAAATAAGAATGAATGAGGACCCTTGGATTTCAACATCTTTTAAATTAATATAGTAATTCGTGTGAGGCTACAAAGGTCATTTTGGCACCTTTCCTTTTAAACACCGTATCTCATCTCATATTTCTCGCTCATGTTCATCGGCAATCCTTTTCTCTCTCATCTTAATCGTTAAACCCTTTTCTGTCGCTCATCTTCATCAATGATCTCTTCTCCTCTCATCTTCATCGGCGATCGCTTCTCGATCTCTCATATTCATCGGCGGCCTATAATCTATCTCTTGCCTTCCTCACTCATCTCTGTCTTCCATCTCTCATGTGCCTGTGACTGCCATGAATTACTCTATATGAATTTTCATATGAGTCAATCTGAAATTATGAAAAGTATCATGTTCTCCACATGGATGATTGTAAGTTTAATTCATATGATTTATTTATCAGTTCAATTTTCCAATCTGAAATTACAGTCTCTCTATTTGAGTCTATGTTGATTTTTTATCATTGAATCGATCTTTCTTAGTAATAAGCGTATGAATTCAATTACGGTTATTTGATTCTTCTATATCTGATCACATAATTTCTACATGTTTGTATTCATGCTTATGTTGATTGAGACTTCTGTAATTTGGGTGTTGTTGCGTTGCTACTTTAGTCACCCGCATGTGCACTTTTACTTATGTTTTTATGCACCCTGTCAAGTATACAATGCACTAGTTTAGTATATAACTCAATTATGAACAATTTGTTTTCTTTATTATGTGTTTGTATTCTTCTATATCAGGTCACATAGTTTCTATACATTTGTATTCATGCTTGTGCTGATTAAGATTTTTCTTGTTTGGAGTTGCTGCATTGCTATTTCAGTCACCCACTAGTGCACATCTACGCATATGTTCATGCACTTCTTTAGAAATTTTTGTTATTTTCGAACAAGTTTTCATTTTTTGACTTGGTGCACCGTTGTTGATTTTATTTTATATCTAAAATTTCACATACTTTGTTCATATTGTTTTACACATTATTATTGCATAATTTTTACATTTATGGATATGCACTAAAACAATTTCTAGATTTGTAGCTTTGCACTAACAATTAGTGTACGGTGCACCTATATTATCATTTGATGCATTTTACGCCTTTAATATGGAACAATTTCATGATAGTTATCTTTTTCATTCTAAGATAATAATAGATGAGTTTTTTTTACTAAACTTTTTATGCACATGACACCAGAAGAGATCATTATAATGGCTATTATTCTGTGTTCATGCGTTTCTCATTATTCTTTTATTTTACTTTTTTGTAGATACACATGACACCAGAAGAGATCATTATAATGGCTATTTCTATCATAAAATAATGCACTAAAGCAAATTACTTCTTGCACTTTCATGTTATTAGTATGCACTAGGAATAAATTAAACTTACACTCTGACAACTGTATGATGCACTAACACCTATTATTCAATGCACAATCACATCCTCAAATTTGCATTAGATACAAAATTTCGAGTTTGAAATCACTTAAATTTGATATTAACCCACTCTTAAGTGCACTAACGCTGATTATTTAATGCACTATCATTTTATTATTGTGGTCTATATTTTTTTTAAATTTGCACTGACATAACTATATATGTGCTTCACATTTTTACAATTATAATATAACTGCAGTGCAATGGACTCACGAAGAAAGGGACATATCAAGTCATCAAGATGAATCATTCAAGCAGCATGAATGCCATGTGTGGAGTGGAAAATGTAGAGTGCAATAATAGACATTTGATAATGGAGCAATTGTGGTGTATTTGGAAGAAAAAGTGCATTTCATTTTATAATAATGTGCATTTTTGTTTGTAAAAAATTACAACGTATAATTTCACAAAGTGTGATATAATACTTCACTTTTCTTTATATTTAAGATGCACAACATATTTGCGAACTTACACATGTCTATATTTATTTTCATTTTTATTTAAAAATACATGTAAGTGCACAAATGCATAGAGTAAAGTGCATATTATAGAAAGTGCATGATAATGATATAAAAGTGAAGGTTAATATAATAATATTATTTCTCTTAATATTAATTTCCTTCATGAATGGTACCTGTGTTTATTATTTAAATTACTACTAATGAAAAAAATTGTTTTTACAATATTGATCACGTTGAAAAATTTAATATGAATATATACTGGGTCTAAAAAGTACTAATATAAATATTTAATAGTTCCCAAACAGATTTGTGCGTTGATAAAAAATATTCATCAGAATTATGATGTATTATTTATTTCAAAAAGAAAAATAAATATTTAATTAAACTTATGGTGCATAGAGTTTGGCATTCTATCATTTTGTCCGGTAACTTTTCGGTTTGTAATATAGAGTAACGTGGAAGCACTAATTTAATTGAATTTAATTTATATTGTAATTAAAAGTGAACTTTTATCTTCATTTATTGAATCCATCAATTACATTTAATGTTAGAGACATTGACGGTGTATCAACTCAAATAATCCGTGTGTAGTGAAGGTTACATCTTAAAAGTATTTTACTAATACACCCCTGTTAATCACGGTGCACCCCATTCAAGTTAATAAATGACTTCATTGCTTTTGATATTTACAGCCTGCCATCGCACCATTCTCGTATGTCCTTACCGTTATATATATATATATATATACTCCTTCCGTCCCCCTAAGTTTGGGACGGAGGGGTGTGGTGTGGTTTTTAAGAAAAAGTGGAATTGTGTGGTTGGTATTGAATTGATAAAGTGTAAATAAAGTAAGAATGAATTCTAACCACTCAAATGTTACCAAATATGGTATGGGACAAACTTAGTGGGACGGACGAAAAAGGTAAAACGGGACAAACTTAAGGGGACGGAGGGAGTATTATTTAAGGAAAAATTGATAGTAATAATCCCAACTATTGGCGGTCCGCTCATAATAATCCCAACTATTGATTATTACAGAATAATCCCAACTTAGGGACCTTCCGCCAAAAAATGGTCTCTATGAATAAATTTTTGTAGTTTCTAAAGTGGATGAGATGAGATATAACAAGTAATCCCTATAAATAATTCCAACTTTTACGCTTACTTTCTGTTTAAAATTCACTTTTTATAGAGGTAATATATGGTCATGGACCATTATTGGCGGATAGTCTATATAGTTGGGATTATACAAAAATAATCAATAGTTGGGATTATTTTCAGCGGACCGACAATAGTTGGGATTATTATTTTCAATTTTTCCATTATATAATTATTATATCTACTTATATATTAATTATCTACTTATATACATATATTATATTACTAATATGTATTATCTACTTAATATATACTTATTATTTACTTATACATCTCCATCTTTTTAATATTTACTTTGATATCTACTTATTATCTATATTTATTGTTATTTACTTATATATTAAAGTATTATAAACAAGTGTATTACTCATCTTATAGTAATATACTTATATATTATATACTATAAATATTATATTATATATTAGTTATACAATTATATTAGTTACACTTGAATTCATAGTAATTAAATTCATCGTATTAGTTAATTTTTACATTTCTCATTATCCTAATTTAGTTAATTAATACTTGTCTCGTTTTTTCTATTACTTACATTTTTTTAATTGTTACATTTTTCATTAAAGTATAAAACTAGTTAATTGTTACATTTTTCATTTCCCTATTAGTTAATTTGTTAATTGTTGCATTTATCATGAAAGTATAAAACTAGTTAATTGTTACATTTTTCATTAAAGTATAAAACTAGTTAATTGTTACATTTTTCATTAAAGTATAAAACTAGTTAATTGTTACATTTTTCATTTCCCTATTAGTTAATTTGTTAATTGTTGCATTTATCATAAAAGTATAAAAGTAGTTAATTGTTACATTTTTCATTAAAGTATAAAACTAGTTAATTGTTACATTTTTCATTTCCCTATTATTTAATTTGTTAATTTTTGCATTAAAGTATAAAACTAGTTAATTTTATTAGTAAGTGGATTCTTGGAAATTTGCTATAATTTTATTAGTTGCATTTTATTATTACTATTGTACTTATATTAAAACATTTGATATAATATAATATTTGTTATATTTTAAAGATGGACCGTGGCAGACATTCCGTAGATATGGGTAATCTCCAACGCAACCGAAGGAAGAAGATTGCGACAACTCATCCTAGTTTACGCAAAGGCAAAGGGCGGGCCGGGTCTTCTTCTCAAAGTCGAGAAGATTTTGAAACGGGGGTACCAAATGCAAGATGGGGATGCGATGTCCGACGAGCAACTACAACAACTATTGGCGCAAAATGATGGTCACTTTTTCTATCAAAAAAACATCCCGGAGTCCATTGACGAAGAGGGGCTCGAGGATGAGGATGCGGAGGATGACGCGGGGGGCAACGGCAGTCACGACATCCCGGATGATGAGCAAGAGTTGGAGAACGAGGGTGGTTCATCCCAAGTTGGTAAGAAATCTAAATCTCTACAAGTTGGTACGCAAGTTGCAATCATTGCAATAAGGAGTATAGCTTGGGAACTTCCGGCGGATACGGGAGCCTCAAAAGGCATCTTAAGTCTGCGCACTTTTGTGGAGTATGCGAAAATAGACAAAGGCAAGGGGAAGCAAACTCAAATATCGAGATTTGCAAATGACCAACCTTTTGGTAATTTCTCATACAATGATGCACGAAATTTGACTGGTATGGCTAAATTACTTGTTGAAGAAAATTTGCCTTATTTGTTTCCTGAAAGTCTTGCTTTTAAAGATTATGCACAAACTTGTTTAAATCCTCAATTTAGATGTTATAGTCGCAAAACGGTTAAGAAAGAAATTATAAGGCTCTATCGTGCGGAAAAGGATAGGTTACACAAATTTTTTGCAAACTTTGATGGCTGTGTTACTATTTGTTCTGACATTTGGGAGGATACTTATCATAATTTACATTATTTGGGTCTCACTGCACATTTTATTGATAAGGATTGGAATTTGCATAAACGTATTCTTGCTTTTCGTGAATTTAATGATCGTCACACCGCTGAACATGTTTATATTTTGATTGAACGTATTTTAAATGAGTATAATTTGATTGATACGGTGTTTGCTATAGGTTTTGATAATGCTACTAATAATACTGCTGATATACTTAGATTGCGTGAATTGTGTGGTTCTAATACTTTGATGGATAGATTTTTTCATCAACGATGTGCATGCCATGTTATAAATTTATGTGTGCAAGACGGTCTAAAAGCGTTAGGAGATGCTATGGAGGTATTCGGGGGGGGGGGGGGGGGGGGGGGATTATACGTATTTGGGGTAATGGTCAACTTAAATTAAAATGGAAAAATTATTTGATTGAAAGAGGTGTGAAATATGTTGCTTTTTCTAAAGATTTGTCTATTCGCTGGAATAGTACTTATAAATTAATTAAAGTTCTTCTTAGATATAAAGAACATTTTCCTGCTTTTTTAAGACAATATGATAAGTATATTTTAAACTCCGTTCACATTGACACTTGCGAAAAAATTTGTAATTTTTTGATATTTTTTAATAATGCAACTGAAAGTTTTAGTCATGTTTATAAACCTACCTCAAACGAATTTATTCGTGAAGTTGTTAATCTCGCCGGTGCTTTTAATGAATTTGAGAATGCCGCTTACGTGAGTTATTTTTGTGGTTTTATGAATGAAAAGTTTTTAAAATATTATGCACATATTCCGCATATTTATGGTATTGCATTTATTCTCGATCCTCGTTTTAGACTTGGTAATTTGGAAGAATGTTTGAAGTTCTATGATCATGCTTTTTTTGGTCCATTTCCAATGTATGACGATAACGCCATAGATCCGCAAGTTGAATACAACGAGGTTAGTAAGTTATTTTATACCTTATTTAATGAGTTTCATGCACAATATGACAACGCGCCCCCTCCCCCGACACAAACATCTTCATCTAAAGGAAAATCACTTTTTAAATATGCTTTTGGCAATCTTATGAAAAAACTAAAACAACTCACACTCCTGAACAAAGCGCACTTAATGAGATTTCTTTGTATTTAAATTATGAGGTAGAATTTGACGAAAATGATGACTTTGACGTTCTAAAGTGGTGGAAGTCAAAAGAAAGAATGTTCCCGATTTTGGCACGGATGGCTAAGCAAGTGCTATCAATGCCGGTTTCAACAGTTGTCGTGGAACAAGAATTTAGTTCGGCCGGCAACGTTCTAACGGCATCTAGAACGAGTTTGAGCGCAGAGTCTCTTGAGACGCTTATATGCTACCTCGATTGGTTGAAGGCCATACGTAGAACTCAAGAAATTAGCATCACCCCCCTCCCAAGACTTTATGAATGAATCAACAACCGAGGGTGGCTCCTATGCCGGAGATTCCGATTGATTAGTATTTTACAATTTATTATAAAATGTATTTCATGTTTTAATTTTTCCCTCAATTCTCTATTGTGATTTGTAAACTTGTAGTTCATATTTCAAATAAATATACATTCATTTTTTTTATATGTAGCACTTCTCAAATTAATTAATTGGTTACAAACGTACAACTTACAACTTAGAATTAATTATATTAGTATTTATTAGAAAACTAGCGTTCACTCGCGCAAGGCGCGAGAGTGTTTGCCCAATTTTAAACTGGTGTTTTATGTGAAGAACTATTACATTTTTAATTGTCATGAAATCTTTTTAAATGGTTTAAGAAATACCGTACATGTTTTAAAAATTGTTGGATCAATTTTTTAGCGAAGCGGCGGGAGTATATAAGTTTTTTTTGTTTGTTAACCAAATATTTGAATTTATCTATAAAAAGCGGGTGATAACATCTCAAACTTGCTAACTGTGTTTACATTTGTCGTAAATAACTCTTAAAGTAATACATAGTACA